TTTATTTATTTTTGGGACAGAGAGAGACAGAGCATGAACGGGGGAGGGGCAGAGAGAGAGGGAGACACAGAATCAGAAACAGGCTCCAGGCTCTGAGCCATCAGCCCAGAGCCCGACGCGGGGCTCGAACTCACAGACGGTGAGATCGTGACCTGGCTGAAGTCGGACGCTTAACCGACTGCGCCACCCAGGCGCCCCCCTAACTCCATATTAATAACATAAATATATATGCTTCTGGTGAGGATATTCCCAGCTGTTGTAACAATAGTGATGGGCAGTCTGCCAAAAAAAAGTATTTGCTGGTTATAGTTTGAAAAAAAACTTCTGGGAAGTCACAGAACTCATGAAGGATCTGCACTGTCTCAGAGAATAGGAAAAAGCTTAGTTTTGCTTAATCTAGAGCTTTCTATGAATAAATTTTGGGGAACATCTTAACCACGAAAAGCATTTTAGAAAATTTGGTATTAGAGGTCCTCTGTTTATAGTTGAATTAAGCCTGCATTTCTTGACTGAGGGAGCTGTTCACTTTCAAGTTTATTTTGACACTTTAATCTATCCTAAATTCTTTTTTAAAATTGAGATATAATGGACATATAACATTTTTAGTTTCAGTTGTACAACATAATAGTTTGAAATCTGTATATATTATGAAATGATTATCACGATAAGTCTGGTTAAGATCCTTCACCACATGTGGTTACAAATGTTTTTTCCTGTGATAAGAACTTTTAAGATTTACTCACTTAGCAACTTTGAAATACACAATACAGTATTACTAACTATATTACATCCCCATGAATTCTTATCCTTTGGTTCCATATGGTATTTTTATATTGTGTTTCCTTCTAGTTTTTGTTATTTTTTGGTTTCTTAGAATCACCACTAGAGGGTGAGCACAGAGAACAAGAGGATTTTATTGCTATTGCCTGTTGGTACTCTTAACGAGGGGTATATAATGTAGGATGAAGCAAATGACCATATTTTATATTATGTTTTGATTTTTCAAATTACGAATATTTGAACACTTTGTACTTTGGCATTGTGAAGGAGACAAAATGGTATGTTCCCTGCCTTTTAAATAGAAGATGATGATGATAGTACTTACCATAGGCAGGGCCTCCACTAAGTGGTTTACATGCATTATCTCCTTTAATCCTTTCAACAGCTTTTTGAGGCAGGTGTTAATATCTTCTCTTTGTAGATAAAGAATATGAAGCTTATAAAGAGATGAAATTATTTATTCAAGATATAGTGACTAGTGGAGTAGCTAGAAGTTGAGCAAGAATCTGACTTAAGAATCATAGGTCTTACCCACCTTATGTTACTTTTTCTGTATTATGGTCTGTATATGAGGCAAGACTGAAACACATGGACAGAGAATGATTTAACTAAGAATGTATTAATACATCACCCCCCTTCCTGCCTCTTTGCTTAGGGTTGTCATTGACTACACTGTCCATAATTCTCAACTTCAGTTCTCAAAATTCCATTTATTGTACCCAGCTTTCCAATCTATTCCATTCTTCCTATTCCCATTTTTGCTGATCTAATTAAGTACTCACCACCTTTACTTAAACTATTACAATATCTTTCTTTTTTTTTTTTTTTTAAATTTTTTTTTTCAACATTTATTTATTTTTGGGACAGAGAGAGACAGAGCATGAATGGGGGAGGGGCAGAGAGAGAGGGAGACACAGAATCGGAAACAGGCTCCAGACTCTGAGCCATCAGCCCAGAGCCCGACGCGGGGCTCGAACTCCCGGACCGCGAGATCATGACCTGGCTGAAGTCAGACGCTTAACCGACTGCGCCACCCAGGCGCCCCTATTACAATATCTTTCTAATTGTTTTCTCTGATTTCAGTCTTATCTCTGATTGAACTTTAATTGCCAACTTACCATTCTAAAGACATAATGGCTCCCCTTCCCTGTTCCCAAGTCTTCATTTGTTTCCTATTGTACATAGAATAAAATTTATACACCTTGAACTTTGCCTTCACACTCATTTGTGATGTGTCCTAAGCCTGTCTTTCTAACTTCATCTCCCACTAAATCCCCCTTTCCACCTTGCCCTTCAGCTACATTATGCTATGCCCTTTTTCTAAAATATTTTGTCTACTTTCCTCATTTATTTAAGTGTTTCCCTTAGTGAGAGTGCCCTTATCCTTTGTCTTGATCTTAAGCATCTTTTCCTTCAGAGCTCCTAGATCACATCATTGAAATTATTTTCTATTTGCCCTACACTAACTTGTTCTTTGTTCTTATTTTATTTCACTTTATGTCTATTAGTGTGGCATTTCTGTGTTTCTGTTAAAATTGTGAGCACGCCTATTCATCTGTGTATCTCCCACAGTGCTTTGACTATGATAGGGGGTTAATAAATGTTAGTCTTAATTTGACAATCATGACAGCACTAGATATCACAAGATGTTAATATGATTAGTTACAGATTCTGTAGAGAAACTGTTAGAGGTCAAACAGAACAATTATTTCAGATTAAAATTGTTGAAAAGAGATTTTATTGAGGATATTTAGGTTATATTAAATCATAAAGTTTTTTTTATATATATAACTTATTGTCAAATTGGTTTCCATACAACACCCAGTGCTCATCCCAATAGGTTAAATCATAAAGTTTAAGATAAACTGAAAATTGAAGTGTTTAGGAAATGAGGGACTTTTAAGTATTTTGAATTATTTCACTCTACTGGGGGTAGGGTAGTATATTTAATAGTGCTAATAAGCCTATACAAGAAAGAGAGAGTATCCTACTTAACATTTCTTCAGTTCTTGTATAAATTTTGAGAGTTCCGCTGAAAATTTGTACAGTGACTCTTCCAACCAAATGATTGGTGTCAGGTGACATTTAATAAAAGGGAAAAAAGCCATTGTTATTCTGCAGTAAAGTGATGCTTTAGTTAAAACTACGTGACTTTTTAAATTCTTATTTCTTCAAGATATTTCATGCAGTTGTGACTCTAGATTGCCAGATAAAGAGTATGATTCCTTTTTTTTTAAGGAGGGGTCGCAGGGAGTGGGAGATGGAGAGAGAGAATCTTAAGCAGGCTCCATGCCTAACACAGAACCCCACATGGGGCTCCATCTCAGGACTGTGAAATTGTGACCTAAGCTGAAATTAAGAGTCAGACATTTAACTGACGGAGCCACCCACGCGCCCCCCAGAGAGTGTGATTTTAATTGGACACTGAAGAGTATCAGAAGATGACACAACTTATATATCAGTTGAAATTGCAAATTGGAATTGAAATTGCAAAAACAACTGAGGTTGTTTTGAGGCTTTTCATATCAAATTTTTTATTCTTAAAATTTGCTTTTCTTCCTTGCACTGGTCAGTGATATCAGAAGACAGATGAGCCATTTCTGGTGTACTTAGAATTTTTATCTAAAGTCTTTGGCCTTGAGGTGCCTGGGTGTTTCAGTCAGTTAAGCATCTGACTTTGGCTTAGGCCATGATCTCACGATTTGTGAGTTTGAGCCCCGCATCAGGCTCTATGCTGACAGCTCAGAGCCTGGAGCCTGCTTCAGATTCTGTGTCTCCCTCTTTCTGTCTCAAAACAAACATTAAAAAAGAAATCTTAAAAGTCTTTGGCCTTTACATTTATTTGAGGAAACCAGATTATAGTAAATTATTATTTCCAGAACCTGATGAAATTAGCATTTTTGAATAAAATATTAGATGTGATTAGCATGTGTCAACATTTCCCCCTTTCTTGTGTTTTATAATTTATATATCTTGATGAATCTCTTACTTTGAATTATAACATTTTTTTCTTTGTGATCTTTGTTTTGTATTATAGTTAT